CACTTCAAATTTGCACCCATCTCCAGGAGGGAGTTCAAATATTTCTAAATTATAGTCTCATTCTACAACAAACACTGAAGTCTTCGCCCTGAAGGAAAACATACGAAATAGTGTTTGTATCTGATTATACAGCATGCAATATTGACTGTTAGCTTCCTTTGTGTTTTGAGAAATACTCACAGAAGGTGGAATGTAGTACTAGGGCTGTTGAGCTGCTTGAGATAAGGGTACGGAAGGCTGGGGTGGGGGTCGAGCAGGGTCACTGCTACTTTCTCTCTGTACTCTGACTACTAAAAGGCCCTGACATCCTATGTGTATGGGATAGAGAGGCAGAGTGAGAGGCAGGGGAAATGAGATTCTTTGAGGCTGGTTGATCACAGGCTGACACTGTTTGACTGAAGGTCTTCAGTAGATGTTCGCTGCAGCGTTAGATGAACTCACACGTTGAGTACGTGTAAAGAAGGTCTCCAATAGTTTGTAAAGTACCGGCTTTAGCAAAAAAAGTTTTTGTGTCGATTTTCTTTACTATCATCACTTTTGTGTTGGTGTCGTAGGTTTAGCAATTACGTTTGTTAAAGACAACACATGGCAGGCCACAAGAAACCAAAATAAGTGTATGAAATGTAAAAAAAATGTCAAGAGACTCCCCTATAAATCCAGCATTTGGGAAATGTGAGATAGAGTTCATTTTATAAATCCAGCATTTGATATTTGGAAAATGTGAGATAGAGTTCATTGATCAAAAAAACTAGCCACACAGGCAGCATAATAAACTGTAAATGCCCAGTTTTGTCACATTATGGTAAATAATAACTGGAAAACTGACCATATAAACAACCACGCATCCTTACATACTACACCAATGCTGACAAATGGATGATGCAAGATTATGATCAACGAAGGCAATGAAGATTTTTATGCATCTTAATTTTTGGACATCCAGGCCGTAATATATATTAACTCTGTGAATAGTCTATTTTAATTATTATGCCTAAAGTAGTGCATCTGTTCTGTTGATTTAAAGGCTTCTTATTTAATATTGTTTTCAATGCCTGCCATGCTCCATAAACTTTTAGTTCAAATCTGTCAGCAACACATCGCACACAGCTGTTTGTTCATGCCTGCGGTTTGATCATTGCATGGGTGTGATAATGTCTACAAATTTTAATAGTAAAAAAGTTCAAATTTCAAAATAATATTAAAAGCCCAGATGATATTGACCGAGGCTCACTGCCTGATTTAAACTACTGCTTTAATGTCTTGAATTTCTGAAATTGTTCTGTCGTAGCCCGACCTTGAGGCATCGTTACCACCTTAGTCAATAAGCTAACGATTATCAGTTGTGGGGCACAGATGAGAGATTGGATGATGCAACTTTCTACCACATGCCATAACTAATAAAAGACACCCTCCAACTGTGTCTTCCTACTTCTGTTTCCTTTCTGACTTCAGATTCTATATAAAAGAATCCGTAAATCTTAGTAGATTTCAAAGCCTCTTTTACAAGTAACGTCAGCGCTCGCATATTGGTGGATTTATCAGTGAAATTATTGTCAGGCAGTATTTGAAAGTTCTTTAATTAATTGTGTGAAGAGATGGTGGAAGGGCATCAAAGGAAACCCCCTAAAATCCAAACTGGAACTGATGATAAAAGACATGCATTTGTACAGTAATTACATCTGTGTTGATCTTTGGGCTTTTTTACTTAGAACCACTGGTGTTTCTGGGAAACTAATTCTGGTCAAAGGTAGAAAACGAACGTGAGAGTAAATGCTGTTAATCCTGTTATGTGAACTTGTTAAGAAGTTTGCAGCATAAAATCTATCCTAATGTATTGGTCTTTCTCTGTAGTCAAGGAGCATTTGTTTTCTGATGTTAAGAAGTTTGCAGCATAAAATCTACCCAAATCAAATAAGTTAAGGTTTCAGACAACAAAGTAAATGTTTCAGGAAACTGTCGTAAATCTACATTTCAGCAAGTTCAAAGGTAAATTCCTTAGAGTTTCTGTTGAAACTGTGATAATACCATAGCTGTTATTTAGGAAGTGGACCTAAAGGTTTTTCAGAACTATGAACAATAAGTTCCATCAGTGTGAAGTCAGTCTCACAGAAACCATGAATCATTTGATTAATCATTAATCTCAGAAGAACACACCCATCAGTAGGAGTTCTCAGTGGTTTAAAAACAACTTGGAAATAAAAGTGTTGATTAAATGCACATGCACTTACCTGATCCACTTTGAAGTGTTTCAGATTGACAGAGATCTCGCGTAGGCCTCATGTCTCCAGAAGGTTTCTGTTAGTAAGAAGAAACAGATCCTCTGGACCTGCAGGGCAGCCATGAGTCAACACAGGAGGGATCACACGGACCCTCCCAAACACCTAACTCAGGGCAGATGACAACAGGGAGACATCTGTGGAAAAACTCTCCCAAAAATGAAAAACAACTGCTTTACACCAGACATTACATTCCTCTATAGTCATCGTGCTGATTTTGTATTTGAATATTTGTGTCCACATCGACAGACAGATTATATATTTTTACTGTGCACAGTGACGATTGTGCTGTTTCATTTTACATCAGCCTTTTCGCTGCAGATGAAGCTGGGTTAAATGAATCTTATGAAGCGCACCGACTAAAAGTGGGCCTGAATGTTCATCTTTGTTTTCCATGTGCCTGCTCTTCCATGAGTGCACCTGAGCTTTGAAGCTGCCCTGCGCTTGTGTGTTAGTGTGTGTGTTATTCTAATGTGAGTGTGTGAGAAAGAGAGAGAGAGAGAGAGAGAGCAAGCGCAAATTAGGGACAGATAAAGAGAAAAACACAAAAACAGAGGATACAAAACCAGCTTTGATCGAACTGGAGTGCCACTAATGCCTCCTTCTGTATCAGGACGTTTGAGGTGCAGTCACAGGTGTGGATGAGAGGAAGAGGCGAGCAGGGCAGGAAAGGCTACAGTTTGAGTTTCTTCCCTGTTTGTTTGTTTTTATTTGCTTTTTTTTTTTTTTTTTTGAGGTCACGCCACATTTTGTAGCTCATATTCCAATGTTTTGATTGCAAACTGTTGTAAGTGGATATTTGAGTAATCATGTTGAACATCCTGCTGTCGGCACTGTTCGATCCTGAGAGGCGATTGAGAAGCTTCAGGCGGAGCGAACGCCTCACATCAATACTAGTATGTATCATCCTTATGGCATGCTTTACATGATGGCTTAGGTTACTTAGTCGAATTTCACTGTTTTAAAGTATTTCAGATTGTTGAAAGATTTTTTTTTAACCAATCCTAGAGAGGTTTTAAACTTCTCTGTCTTCTAATGGTTTACAGACATGTATTTTAAATACATATTAATTTAGAGAAAGGGTTTTCAGACGTTCATCCGTCTGGATTCGTTTCGTGGTTTGACCTGACCTTGCTAAAGGTCACCATCCTGCACACAATCCTCACGGCATGTCTGCTGCTCATGACTGACACTGTCTTGCCTTTGGAGAATTATGTCTTCTTGGACCTAACCCCACAGACCACCTACACAGCTACCGAGCCCTCCGAAACAGAGGAGCACTCGAGGCACAGAGGAAGTCATCATTAGACGAGCTGAGATCGGGGGAATGTGATTATAGCGTTTGTTTGTAAAAGCTAGGGTGTGTCCCTGCTCATGAACTAGCAATAACATGTTGGCAAAGACAGTGGGCACTGAGTAGTTTCTTTTCTGTTAAAATATTACTGTTGGGTGTATTAGACAATTATTGTCTAAAAAAAATCTTGCAATTTTAAAATATACTGTGCAAACACACAATACAACAAGAGTCGTTTGTATTTTATGTTTGGCTTTTTATGATAAAATCCCTATAAGCAAGATGTAGTGCACGGGACGTAATGTATGGTGTGTAGCAGACTAAAGTAAGATACATACATCAACTAGATGTGTACCACTTTATTGGTTCCTACAGAAAAGCCAGTAATTGAAGCTATTTTCCCTCTGCCAAGTACAACGGGCGGAGCCTGTCCAAAACTCCCTTCTGTGTCTGCTGTTGTATTTTTGTGACAATTTCTGCTAAAGCTAACTATACCTTTAGCCCTCGCTGTTGTCAATTTAGGTAGCTACAGCAAATGGCTATTGCGTACAGATGACATATATCAAGGCAGAGCGTGGTTGCTGGAGCCAATCCCTGCGGATGGGGTGGTGGGTTATATTGAGACTGGTCACCATCCAATAAAGAGCCACAAATAGAGATAAACATCAACTTATAATCACATCAATTGTGAAAGTCTCTGTTAACCTCATCGTAACTCTGAATATTTTAACAACAAGTAAGGAATTTACACCAACTGCAAAGCTGACGCTGCCCACATAGCTGAAACCTTTGGATATACAGAGAATTGGTCTACATTTTAGTCCATCCCTTGAAAACCTAAATTAAACTGTAAAGGAAAACCAACTGAGGTTGTAGCATCCTGTGGATGTGGTAGAGTTTAGGAAGTGATAGGATTTTTCCTCAGTGGTGTGGTTTCCTGTGAGGTGAGAAAACCACAGACACTAATTTCTCTGGCAGTGTTTCTATGCATATATGGCTCCATTAACCACATCCTCTTAACATACAAGTAGTTGGACATTTGGGAAACACTAACTTTTCAGTAAGGAAACACTTGTACAATTTGGGAAACACTAACTTTTCAGTAATCTGTTAATGCACGGTTTCACTTCGGGGTGCAGGTCTTTTGTGTCGGTACCCTTGTTGTGTATTTCTGGTGCATTTCTACTTTTATTTTTTATCGTTTTTGTCACGTTGATAAGCATCGTGATACCTCTGCGACAAAGCTACACAACACTCATTAAAATCATCAGGACACAGCGAAGCTTCCAGCAGCATCGCCTCAGACAGCAGCGTCGCTTCTCCTTATTGTATCCCGGACAATTTATTTCACGGGACAGCAGGGGCGGTCACTTATCTAAGTGCAAGAAAAATACCAGAATACTCAAAGTTGAACCAAATCGTCAATTTATTACAATGAAGAAAGGGTCACTTAGAACATCTGAGTTTTTCGTTTAGTGTATTTTTCTGTGTATCATCAGTGTCCTGTTTTTTGTGTTTGTTTCACTCCACCCATTTTGTGTAATGGTCCGCTCCGCACAGCCGCGACGCGGCCGTTGCTCACAGAGCTGAGTGCAAGCAGAGCTTCAGAGATCCTGCCATTGCTGTGCTCCGTGTCCTAGTGATGCCTTTTCCCAACTTTTCATCCAGCGGTCAACGACGACACATCTAAAAGAAAGACCCCTTTATTTTCCCCACGTTTCCCCCTTAAAACTTCACTTTCTTTCATGATTCGGTACCTGGTTGGACTAACGTACGCTAGCGTTTCTGGCAGCGGGGAGAAGATAATGAACTTTGGACTTTCCCCACGGTTTTTCCTGACATGTTTCCCGTCGTCCTGGACAGAATAAAATAACAGCGTAGCCCGGCGTGGCGGCGGCTGGGCTAGGGGGGAAATAGCGCACTTTTCTAAGTGGTTACCAGAACGCAAAGAACAGCAACTTTTAATCTGTCAGTTTTGTGGAGGAACGGGAGGGTAAAATGTCCTCCAAAGCCTCGAATAAGGTGAGTACCTGCAGCTCTTAATAAAACAGCGATAGGTCCTGCGTTTCTCATGGTGTTGCAGGCGAATACTGTGTTGTTTAGGCTAAAAGAGAATACACGCAACGTGGGTGTTTTAAGTAAATAACTTAGATAGATGTAACCTGTCCTGGTCATGAAAAGACCACGTTTTCATTTTAAGACTAGTGTTTGTATGACTGTGTGTGTGTGTGTATGTGTATGTATTTGGCTCTTGGAGCTGTTCTGTAATCTACACCTAGCAGCATAGCCTGCAACCAAACATGCTGTTTCTCCTCTACCTGGATCACAATGCAGTGGAAAAAGGGTGGTTTCTTCAGCTGATAACCTGTCAGTGATCAACCTCCCAGCTGTGTCCACACTCGGTCCTAAGCTCAGACACCTGTTGATCCCTTGAGACCCGGGTTCGTTAATACTGGCAGGAACTTCACATGATTGTTCAAAGAGTTTGGGCTCAATGCAAGAACATTCTGAGCATTTATCAGATTGGGGAGATCCTTTGATGTGGGATGTGTTATAGGGAAGGCCAAAGTAAAACTGTTATTATCGTAAGGCGACGATTAACAATGTAAAAGGAAGAAAGGATACAGAGATGCATCTGGAAGCAATTTGTGATCTGTGAAAAATGCTGCCTAGAATGAATGAACCGACTAATACGATATAAAACTTGAAGTAAGCCTCACACTAGAAGGCACTATCTTGAATGCATGCTGTTTCCACCTGCACTACTTGTTTGTAAATGAAGTCAGTTTAAAAATAGAAATGGGGGTTGTCTTTTCATTCAGTTTTCCAGGTTACTGTAACATATGGTGTTTCACATGTTAAGTATTTTTTTAGTTAGGAGAAACTATTCATGCGAATGTGACTTGAAAGACTCAAAAACTGAAATAAAAACTTGTAATATTTGTTTCAAAGCAAATTAAGACTTGAAAGACTCAAAAACTGAAAAAAAAAACCCTTGTAATATTTGTTTCAAAGCAAATTATCATAAAACACCAATATTCACTAACAAAAATATAATGGTTAGGTTTGATTATGTAGGTCAGTTGCCATAGTTGTCTCACTTTTACAGTGTATAGTCAATAGTTTTATAAATGTATGTTAGTTTGACAAGCTTGGAATGCTGTGTTTGTCTAAAAGAGGTGGCGATATTCAGGTTGGGGCGGTTGTTCTTGCTCAACGAAACTACTTCGTCATGTCAACTAATGACGTTATGCTGGACTGTACTTTAAGGCTTGAGTCACACCTAGATATTACACTTACTACCATATCATGCTTGTTGTAGTTTCTTTTTTTATTTCTTACACTACCGTAGTATTTATATTTTAGAAGCTTTTGTCCTATAGTGTTAATGGTGCAAGCTGGATAATTGTAAAAAACAAATTAGTTTTAAAAAAAGGCGTTTTAGTACCATATGCTCTGTTTTCACTATAAAATTAAGCATGCACATTTATGTTTCAAGTAGTTTTAAAAAGAAACAAGCCAGGTCATAGCTTTGTTTTATTTTAAGTAACAATAGTTGTTCAAACTGCAACTTTAACCCTGGTGATCTGTTCTGATAAGAATTGAATAAAAGTGAAAGGACTGAAGGTTACTGCATTGTGGTTATGTACTTTGTCATCTCACTGGGACTGTAAAGCAAGTAATACATTTGTTGTAACAGTTTATGTTTGTTCTGTGTGCATTCAGTACATTCGCTGTACTGTTTGACATCATTTCTGCGTGGGTGGTTAAGAAGGTTCACTATGCTTGAGCTCATTGTGGATACTAGCCTGCATCATTATTTTTACGGTTTAATTTCCTAGTGTCTGTTGGCAAAACCACGATGCTAGACAGATTTGACTTGACCACATGTTCAGACAAACGATAATGTCTTGTTTATCATTAAAGATTTGTTACAGTGTTGGGCCAGCACATTTCATCTATACCATTTTAAACAATAACATGTGTTTATGTAATTTACCAGTAATACAATAGACACATAAACACACTTTTGTTTGTTTTACATCTCAATAATGTAAATGTTTTTATTACATTCTTCTTGGTTAGTTGGATGTTTTACTTTATATTTACCATTTACTTTATGGCTTGCAGTGTTGAAAAAGACAGTAAAGCCTTCTATGCCTACCCATTCTTAGTCAAAGCTGAGTCTTAGTCATCATTACAGGTCAAAACCACAAAATACCACTTTGTGTTAATTGTTGTTTAGAGAAGGATGTGTTTTTGTGTTTCTGTCTGGTGCCAATGTTCCTGCTCCTAACTCTAGAGTCAGAGAAGTGGAATTTTTTCCACACTGCACAAGGCTCAATTTTTGGTTGAAAGTAATCCAGGTCCAGGTCTTTGGGTCTTAGTCATTGTGTTATTTTAGTGCTTTTTAGCAATATTTGAGCGAAAACCCAAGTTTATTTAGTGACATGTTACAGTATTTAGTAATCTCAGGACACATCATTATGTTTGGAGTTGTGTATGATGGTTAGTAATTAATAAAGGGATGAGGAGAATCAAACTTCTTCTTGTTAAGATCCCTGGATGTGCTGCTGTACTATATTGGAATAAACTCTCATTTAAATTCTCTATTGTAGTAAACTGTGATGCAACACAAAGCAAACAGAAACGTATTTGGAAGCATCAGCAGTCCTGGCAGCTTTACCGATGTATTTTATGGTTACAGATGGAAGTAAGTGGAAAAATCATCTAGATTGGGAAGACTTAGGTCTTAATTAGAGTTGCACAGCAGGCCTCTTTTTTGCTTTGATGATTACACAACTCAATTTACATCAGTGAGGGAGGGAAATGTAATTAATGGGCCAAGTACTCACAAGAAGAACCACATTTTGGTGGCGTTTTTGTCCTCCATCTTTGGCTCAGAATTATTGCGGTGATAATTAGTATGCTGTGATGTGGTCATAAGGAAAAAACACGGATGGCTAATAGATAAAAACACTTCGATGTTTGTGGTAATTGCAAGGAAGAAGCAAAACAGAGCTGGAGGAAAATGTTATAATCTCTAGTCTTTACAACAACTAAAAGTTGTTAAATGTTTTTTGCGAGATGAATGCAATCAAGTCCATGCACATAATGACCAGAAGATTTCATTCAAGTTTGACATGGTCTTTATTAATGGCTAAGTTAGTATGATATCAATTAGAATACTTGGATGATATTTTGTGTTCTTAAAATATCCAACAGTGTACTTTCTTTAGCAGATATCATTTTGTGGAGAAACCTAGCTACAGTACCTTAAAGGACAATGGAACAACACTCATTGCTTATCCTTATAAAGAAAGAAAAGTTAGGAACAGTAAATGCACACTGACTCTGAACCTATTCCTACTCCTTCTCACAGACACTGTTGATCCCACATCCTTGATTTCAGTCTTCCTGGTTCTTAAGCAGCTTTGTAAAAGATGAGTGGAATCTTCAGTTGCTCATGTTGAATTCAGTGCTTGGTTTGTTTGTTCCTGGTTCTCCTAATGGAAACAAAAATATTTAATCCACCAAAACAATAGGCTGTGATATTTCTTTACTCAATATACGCAGACAAATTGTCCTGGGGCCTTACCTCAGATGTTATTTGTTTACATCAAATGAATGTGTTTATTTGGAAGCCCAAACAGACGCTCTGTTTAGAATTGCATGGATTGTTTTATTAGCAGTACTTTGCTATAAGTTCATGCATATGTCAAACAAAACATAATGTGGTTGGTAGTAGTTGGTAGTGTTTTTCTTTTCCAAGAAAACAAGTTCGGTCTTGATGTTTTTTTATTTTTTTATTTTTTTGAACAAATGTGGTCTTGATGTTTATTTTTTTATTTTTTTGAACAAATGAAAAAATATCTCCTGATGTTATTGTTATGGTTGCTCCTGTACGAGGGTCTGGACTATTTAGTAGGATATATTTTATTTACCAGTTTCTATTGCACATCTGCAGAGATATATGCTTGGAAAATAGACCTGTATAATTCTAGTCTTGTTTGTCAAATAGTGTACCTTAAGTAAAAATGTAATCTGAAACTGTCAAATGAATTTTGTACTGCCTATTCCGAACACATGTGGGGTGAAATTCAGGGCAGATACAAAGAACAGGAGGTAGGTGGGTAGCAGAATGGGGAAAAGAAAAAATGCTCTTTGAGCTAAGACCTGTTGTGGGAGGATGGGTCATTGGAGAGGTGAACAGTAAAATGAAAATAAAAGGGGACAATAATCTGAGTCACATGGCATGACTCGCTTGTCAGTAATCACTGTTTCTTAGGTCAGCCCATTCCTAGCTTCCTATTTTACAAAAAAGTATTTGTTGAGTCTTTGAGATGCTCCTGACAAATTGTTTATAATAATTGTCTTTGTCTACAGGACTGTTCTAAGTTGTCTTGAAAAAATCATACTAAATTCCACAGACAGCGATTACTTGGGCTTTACTTTTGTGACGTTGGCAGGGCAGAGAGGCTGTTTTAATCTCTTCACCTTCTTAGTCAAACAACTATCTATATTAAAAAGAGCCTCTAAAATGTAGTTAGTAAAACATGAAGACCAAATACTCATGTTCAGTCACATACAATAGAGTAGATGGTGTCAGAGACAGACAAATGCGAATATTTTAATATCCTGTAAATACTGGTCAAAGGAAATGTTTCAGTAATCCTGTTCAAAGCAGCATTAAATCACTCAGTGAAAATTTCAAGTCATGCTATGTAAAACTTGACAATGATCCTGATAAAAAGAATGCATGGGTATATAGTTGAGTTCATTCATCTTAATAAATGTCTACTGGCTAAAGGTGAATACACTCCTTGCACCTTCAATGGCATTGAAGGAAAGGCTATTAAAGGATTTGTTATTCTACACTACAGACATAAAGGATTTCAGACACAGGGTTGTATTAGAGAGCTGGACGTCCGTTGAGCAAAAGACACTTAGAGAGCTGGACGTCCGTTGAGCAAAAATTTAGGCCATAGGGGACAGAGGACATAGCATAGCTACGTAGCTGT